CCCGAGGGCAGCGGGAGGGGGGGAGCGGCGGTGGCGGCGGCACCTCCTCTCCGAGACCGCGGGCACCGAACCGGGGGCGGCGAGGCGAGGGCGGCTGCTGCTGCCTCCTCCTCGAGGGCAGTGACTTCCACCGAGCCAAGGACCAACGAAACGGCGTCGGGGTGGAGGGAAACTCCACAGGGGCTGATTCCCGGCGAGCCAGGAGAGAGTTCAGGGCGGGGAAGGGGAAGGGGGGAGAGCCAACGGGTCCGTTTCGTGCTTCTCCTCAGCGAAAACTGACGGTCGCCGCCACCGCCGCCGCCGCTGACAGGAATCTGAGCCCCGCCCCCCGTGGGGCACTGCGCAGGCGCGGAGGGGGGCTCCCGAGAGCCGGGAAGAGCCGGGCTGCAGCCGGAGGGCGGGGAGGCTCGTCACGGAACAGCATCAACAAGGGCTTCGCTTCCTGCCGCAGCTGCCCGGGCGGCTGATCCCGAGCCGGGGAAAGGGCCCCGCCGGCAGGGAGGGAGGGAGGGAGGGAGGTGGGGAGGCGTCACACGCTGGGGCCCCGAGGAGGGAAAAGGTATTTGCTCCGACCTGGTGGCGGCGAGCCTGAGGCGGCCTGCTCTGCGCCGCGGTGTGCGCAGGAGGACACCGATCCGGAGCAGCCGAGGTGCCTGCATGGGAAGGGAAGAACCCAGCGACTCGCGGCGGCCGAGGCCAGAGTTTCGCAGGCAAATGGAGTTTCGTCGTTTGGACAGCGACCAGCTCTTTGGGGTTTTCATAGCAGTGTCTACAATAAGCTGGCCAAACGACTGTCAAACTCATTTCTTAATTAGGAAATGGTAGACCGTATCCTAAAAACACCAGGTCCTAAAAACAAGTCCCTTGTTTTTAATTAAAGTGTCTTCTTCCCTCCCTCCCCACACACACACCGACTTTGGAGACTGTAATTTATTACTTTAAAAAATCTGATTGCGCTAGAGTATCTGAAATTTACTCAGAGTGGGAAACAAGACAATTTAAAAATTGGATCTTGTGAATCCACCTGGTTGTTCTAGAGGGGAAAAAAAAAAAGCAAACCTAAAACGCTACTCTTCTATACAGGCTTTCATTTTTGAGTTTTGGACTAGACTAGGATGGAGGAAGAGCACACGCACACGTAAATGAGTTTTTGCTATTCTGTTCATGGGGGCCAAAAGTTTCCATTGCAAAAACAAAAATCCTCACCTACACCGCAGACTGTTTCCTGACTCTTAATAGACTTCTGGGAGATTTTTAATCAAGTTATTAAAATATCAATTGGAGCTCAGGGTGTGCATCTTGAGAAAGAAATTTAATCTTGTGTGGAATATTGATGCCAACAACCGCATGGGTAAGGATTTTGAGCTATTTGAGTTGGTTTTGTTTCTGTCATTTTATCTTAAAGATCTTATAAATCTTAAAAATCAGTCTTGTATTATGTACATGTATGTAATTTACAGCCTCTCTCAACCATAAATTTGAGCACTTCATCTGAACTTGGAGTGCTGGGGCTGGGGGAAAAAGGTCTCAGCAAATGACGCCCCAGTCCAGTTGCCTCTGGGGTGGGCCCTTTACTAAGCTCTACCTGCACATCTAGAATTTAAACTTGTGTCATCAGAGCCTACCTATCTTTCCATCTGAAAATCTGATTCAGTTTGTCAAATTATCTTCACAAAATTCTGTATAGCAGAAAAATCAACACTGTGAACATTTTCCTCCTGTCAAAAGGTAAGAAAGCTTTTCAGAGCCACCCGAAGATGGCAAAGCAGAACAGGCCACTGTAGGCTGCTGTAACAAGTCCCAAGGGAAGTCCCTTCATAGCTGGGAAGAGCCATTTGAGAGGGGAAGACCCAAATCTCACATTGCCTAACAAGCCAAGGCCTATTGAAATCCCATATCTTTTGAGTTTGAGTAAACACCTGTTAGAGACCTCCAGGCTCCATTAGTCACTACATGATTTGACAAGAGGAAATTGCAATGCTCCAGGCAGAGCCTCAGTACTAAGAAAGCTTGGTGAATCACTAAGCATATTTCTGTGTAATTCCTCAACAAACTCAGAGTATAAAAAATCCCACATTGTTCTGACCCTAATTAACAGGTCAAGAATTAGCAAGGACTCTTCCCTTCTGTACTTTGCCCTCTTGTGACTTCTTTTTTTTTTTCTCTTCTGCTTTGTTTTTATGTTAATCAGATTTCCCCTGATTAGCTAAAAGGGTCCCTGATCAAAAAACAGTGTGACCTGCATGATAATCAAGGTTATCAAAAATAACTATCTGATCACTATTTCTCTAGTAAACTATATGTCCTTCTAGTTCTAATGACATTTCCCTTTGTGGTCATTTGTATCTTAGTTGTGTTCCCTGTTAGTTGGTATTTGAAGTAGTGTGAAAATATTTTAAAAACCACCCCATCATCCACAATTCTTCATAAAATACTGACGTGACTTTATGTAAAAATTGGAAATTTCCTCTCATTGAAAATTACAATAGGATCATAGAACAAAACATACAGCAGATTTAGTAGTTTGTAGAATTCCTTTATATTACTTCCGAATCAGGTATCGCATTCCCTAGTCACTTGATTACAATTTCACAAGAACCCGGATTCAGCTACAAGATTGTGTGGATTATGCAATAAAGTCTCACTTTTTGTATTTGTAGTGTGTTTGTATTGGTAGTGTTAACCCCTCCTGGATCTGTTTAGGCAATTTGAGAATTGTGTAGCTGGATCTACTCTAAATGAAAGAGGTTCAAATATCAACCACTTGAAAAGGAATTAACTCATACAGAACAAAGTAATGTGTTGTCACAAGATCTACAGAATCTTTGTCATTATAATACAATGAAGGCTGTTAAAATAATTTTAGTCACACATATATTGTAAGGAACCTGCTAAACAAACACAATCTGGAAGGAAAATTTCCAGTGTGATTCAAATAATAGACTAAAAAAAGTTTATACTGCAAATTATTTTTGCCCCACCTTGGGAGGGCTCCTTAATAGAGAATTGATAGTGGTGGGAAGTGGCAGTGACTTCATTTGTGCTAAAATTTTTATCCGATTCTTATTTGGTTATGTTTATGTGATACTTTTTACCCTGAGATCATGCTCTGGCAAAGGTTTCTGAAGGTAAAATTAGTTTCTCTACTATTTGCCATTAAATTTAGTATATCCTCACTCTTTTCACCTTCCAAAGTGCCTAAATCTTATAATCAAGCATCTAATTCACTTGATGAAGTACTTCTGTATTTTATGAATTGATTTGAGTCAGAGTTTGCTTCTGAAATCATTAGAGATCAGTTTAAGTCTCTCAAGATCTAGAGTGATTACAAATCCTAAGGTGCAGTAAAATCAACTTGAATCTGAAAGACTTAGTGAGGAGTGAGAAAGGAGGTAAATGCTGGAGAAATGCAAAGGATGGATTAGGGAGGAGAAATTTTAATAAGAAAATAGAAACCCCTGAGTCTATTAAGCCAAGAAAGGAAAGAAGGTAATGTCTCCAAATCACCCCAATACCAGGCAAGTTAAACATATGCAAACTGCAAGCAAGTCCTTATTCATACTGGCCCTGAACCACCACATTACATTTACTAAGATGCTTTTGCACTTCTAATCTTAGTATTATGGAATTATAGCTAGTAGCTTCACTTCAACTGTGTTATTATTTTAAACAAGAATATGAACTAGTAGCCTGGCACACAGGCATAAACTTGTAATCCTAGTGACTCAGAAGTCTGAGGCAGGAGAATTACCAAATTCAAAGCCAGCCTGGGCATCTCAGGAAGACCCTGTTTCAAAATAAAAAGGACTAGCTCAGTGGTACAGCACTCCTGGATTCAATCCTAGTACCATCTGGTGGGGAGGGTTGATGGGAGCATGAATTACTAAAGCTTTTTTAAATTTATTATTATATTCTCTCTTAATTCAGGGAGAGTTTTTGTTTGTTTGTTTGTTTGTTGTTTGTTTGCAGTGCTGGGGATCAAACTCAGGACTTTACACGTGGTAGGCAAGCACTCTTTCACTGAGCTACAACTGCATCCCAATTCAGGGAGTTTAAAACCCAGAGATCCAGGGATTTGCTTCAAGGTATTTGTGATCTTCCTAAACTGGTATGCAAATTTTTGCAAGCTTGTACCTACATGCATCTCTTTCTTTGGGAAACAAAGGGAACAAACAAAGGTTAAAAGTTTAGCCATCATAAGCTTTCTGAAAGAAAAATCCCAGAAAAAAAGATGAAAAACCATTTCTCTATATGAAGCAAATTTATTCTGCTCTCATTCCATAAACAAATGTCTGTGGAAATTTTAAAATACAAAGATTTTATAAAGACCATGTAAGAAGTAAACAGTGGCCTGGGCAAGGGCAGGGAAGTTGCCCTATAAAAAAGCAAATGCACTATGATAGGTGCTAGGCTAGAAATCTGTACAGGTATCTACAGATAAATTATTCATTTGCTTTCTTAATAGGAGATGAAGAAGGAATGCCATCTCACAGACCACATTCATTCTTTTCCTCCTACAGCTGCTATGTCTGTTCCAACAGAAATTTCCTACAGGGGTTGAAAGAAGCTAGAAGTTGCAGGGCAAAGTCCTGACACACTCTTGTTTACAATGTGATGTATCACAGCTAAGATGTGTTGATGCAAATATTCCAAGAAATACCTGGGCTTCATTGAACTTCAGTGGATAGTCAAAGAAATCAAGTGTCTTTGTTTCACATTTGCAGAGGATAGTGGCTAAATACTCAGGTTAAAGATGCAATGATAAAAGAGTTGAATTAGTCATCCGCAATTAAGCCCCAAAGATCTAAATTAAAGTTATTGGATAAACTAGATTGGCTTTAGATATACCATACTCTACCTGCTATGTATTTGTTTCAGCTAAATGTAGGTGTGGAGGGTGGGGGGGAATGTGGACTGCCCTAAACATGAGAACAGACATACCAGAGATTTGCCAACAGATTTTAGAATCTAATTATAAAATATGAATGAGACTTAGAATATTCATTTACTCATTTATTCAGTTTCTCCACCTGCAAAAATTCTACTTTACCTTCGGAGTTCAGCTCAGATATCACTTCCTCTATGAATTCATCCTGAACTCTTCTACGCCATATTGTTTTCTCTGTTGGATTCACACATCATTTTGTTCAAGCTGTGGCATAGTAATCATCACAGGGAATTAACAGTCCATGGGTCTCTCTTTGATACATCATGAGCACTTGGTTGTGCAGTACCTGGAAAGGTAAAATAAATAAAACAGAGGGCTGGGGTATAGCTCAGTGGTAAAAACACTTGCCTAGCATTCATGAGGCCCTGGGTTAATCCCCAACACTACAAGTAAAAATAATGAAGTCCAATTCTTGCCTTAAATAGCTTATAATTGTGCACACATAACTTTAGCACCCACACAGAATGAAATAAACTCTCTAATTGATGTTTTAATAGGAATTTGACAGTGGGTACACAGATTACTAGAATGGAAGAAGAGAAGAAAGGTAAGAATAGAACGGAGAGGGGCTGTGGATGTAATTCCTGGTAGAGGGTTTGCCTAGTATGGATGAGACCCTAGGTTTTATCCCCACTATTTAAAAAAAAAAAAAAAAAGAAAAAAAAGAAATGGGCAGGGGAGAAAGAATTTGGTTCTTTATCCTATAGGCATTGGGGAGTGGTTGAAATTTTTTGAAGAAGGCAATGACCCGACCAAAAAGCACCAGAAAGTTCCAGTGCAGCAGTGTGAGGCATAACATGGCAGCTTTGAACCTGGATACAGAGAACTGCCTAAAGCCAATTATGACCTAAAGAGAAAAATATAAAATATATGTATATATATTATGAGACTTAGAATATTTATTTACTCATTTATTCAGTTTCTCCACTGCAAAAATCCTACTACCTTCAGAGTCCAGCTCAGATATCACTTCCTCTGTGAATTTATCCTGAACTCTTCTAAGCAATATTGTTTTCTCTGTTGGATTTCCACAGCATTTCCATATGTGTATGTGTGTGTGTATGTGTGTGTGTACACACACATACATACTTACATACATATATATGGAAGTAGAATTAAAAAAAAAAAAACAACAGTAACTGCTCATATGTTGAGAGTAAGGGATAGAAAGATGACTGAGACAGGAATGGCAGATGATTTTGAAACATCCACCAACAGGCCCTTCATTGTTGGAGTCAAATAGCTTAACCCACCAAAAAATTACTTAACAGAGAAGCAAACACCACTACACATGAGTCACCCAAGAGACTTTAGCCTTTATAGTTGTTATCTGGAATGGCGGACTCTAACCAGAAAAGCAGTGATCTTAGACTTATTCTTTACCTGCAGGTAATCCAAGTAAACTTAACCTGCTGACACTCAGTGAAAGAGTAGTTGATAAGAAACAAGCCTGCATGAGCGTGAATTCCTAGTTTTCATCTAAACATACTTAAACATTAATATTTAAACCTCTACATGCTGACTTTCTTCTCTGTTTTTTGTTATTGTTGTTTGGTACTGAGGATTGACCCAGGGGCTCTTAACCACTGAACCACAACCCCAGCCCTTTTTTTATGTTTTATTTTGAGATAGGATCTTGCTAAATCTTTAGGGCCTTGCTAAATTGCTGAAATTGGTCTTGTACTTGTAATTCTCCTGCCTCAGCCTTCCGAGTGGCTGGGATTACAGTTGTGCACCACTGCACCTAGCTAATGCTGACTTTCATAATAACTAAATGTGGAAGAAGTTCACAAATCCTAACAGTCAAAAATTCTCCTGAGAAAGAAAGAAAAAAAAAGTTAGTTGAAATAAAAAGCATCTATCATGTCTTTGAAGAGGATCAATTTGCAAACCTTCCACTCATGGAAAACTTGGGTAATAATGAGTCTAAAGTTTACTCTGCAAGGCCTGGACCAAGGACCAACGCATTTAAAAATCAGGTAAAGAACAAGCTGAAGGTACTCTGAGCTCATAAGGAACCAAAGTCATAAGGAACAAGTAGATCATCTGCTCTTCATACTTTTTAGGGCCTTTTTGGTGCAAGATAAATATAAAAAAGAGGAAAATTCAAAAAGAAACATTCAAAAAATCATTCAGCCTTAGTGCCTAAGGACCTGAGTTCAATTCCCTGCACCAAAAGAAAAAAGAATCAACAAATAAGAGAGAAACATGAGAGAAAAATTCTATGGTTGATCTAATAGGTTTCCTTCTAGGAGCAAAAGGGAAGATGTAGCCTGTATCACTGAGTATATCCAGTCTACCCTGAACCCCCAGTCAGACTTGATCTTCAGTGTTGGGGGCCGTCTTTTGTCATGGCTGTCCAGTGAATTCTAATTTCTTCTGGATAGATTTGTTTTTTTTTCTGTTGTACTCACATGCCTCAATGATTAAAAGCTTCCAAAGGAATATATAACTGCTCATGTGATCCAAAGAAATATCTGATGTTTATCGTGGATGCCACATATACCTATTTAAGTTTATTGGAGGCAATTTGATAAAAAGAAAGTGAACCTCCTTGGATTCCAGGGTGCTGAGTTTTTATTTTTAACACCTACTGAGCATTTTCACAATGCCCAGCAGACATTTCCACTTCTCCAGAGTCGTGTGACTTTCCACCAGGGAGTTTTTGCTTTCCCTCTGGACTTAATCCCGGGTAGAGTAAGACTGGAGCTACTGGCACCACCTTGCCACAAAGAGTAAAGAGCTTGTGTGCAGTGGACTAATCCCCACAAAGCAGAACAAAGAAAAGGGAAGAGAGAAAGGCCAGAATCTGAAAAAGGAAAGAAAAGTCACTGGAGTTTCCAGAGGTAGCCACACCTGACTTCAGGTAATCAATTGATAAATTCCTCATTTCTGCTTAAGAGGTTTAGGATTCTGTTTTCTGTCATTGGGGATAAGAAACTCTTATCTTGATAGGATTTGTCCAACTTTATGTAACTTTCTTGGGCCTCTGTCTCTTCTCTGTGAAATTAGTAGGTTAGATTATTTATCAGGCAGGGATGGTGTTTGGCTGCTAGTGACAAACACGGGTGGCTTGGAGGTTTTATTTTTCTCACTTAAGAACTCTGGAGTGAGGCCATCCAAGGCTGGCCTCACAGCCCATGATGCCATCAGGTACATAAGCTTTCTCTTCTTCCAACTTTTAAAAGTAGCCATGTGCTCATACTTAGGTGACTGTCACCTCTGGGCATCATATTGGCATTCTAGGGAAGAGAAAGGAAAGGCAAAGGGCAAAAGAAACAATTCCATTCCCTGGAAGACACACACAGTGGCTTTGATTTACATTTCATTGGACAGGACTGTGTCACATGTTTACTTTATCTAAAAAGGAAAGCTAGAAAATGTGTGTTTTATTTTACTTATTTATTTATTTTTTATTTTTTGGTACTGCAGGTTGAACTGAAGGTGCTGTAGCACTGAGCTATATTTTTTTGTTTGTTTGTTTTTGAGACAAGGTCCACTAAGTTGCCATCGTGAGACTGGCCTGGAACTTGTGATCTCCTGCCTCAGCTTCCTGAGTCACTGTATCCAGCATATATAGGATTTTATATGTAGGCACATTGAAACTCTCAACAAAAATGGAAATCAATCAGTTGGTAAGGAAGTGGAGAGAATGGATACGGTAAACAATGATATTTTCTACCAAAATACTACATAATAGCAAAGGTAAAGGTAAACTCCTTCTTTGGAATTCTACAATTCTAGATTCTGGTCTTCTTTTGTTTTGCTGTACCTATTTTTTTTTTTTTTTTTTTTGGAATTGGGGATTGAACCCAGGTCCTCAGGCATGCTAGGCAAGTATTTTATCACTGAGCCATATCCCCAGTTCTCCTGATCATTCCTTTATGGAAAAGAGCTAAAGATTTTTTAGAAAGGAGGGCATGTTTTTAAAAGTAGAGGTATATCTCATACATGAAATGACCATAGTTACATGTAAGATATGCTACTATAGTTAGAAACTCTTCACATTTATTATCTTTTTCCTGAAACTTTAAAATTCCTATCTTCAGGAAACTTATTTTTATAAATCACAGATATTGATTGATTCCTTCATTGGTTTTTTGTTGTTGTTGTTTTGGGGATTGAACCCAGGGGTACTTAACCACTGAGCCACATCCCCAGCCCTTTTTATTTTTTGAGACAAGGGCTCAATAAATTGCCGAGGCTGGTTTTGAACTTATGACCCTCCTGCCTCAGCCTCCCAAATCACTGGGATTACAGGAGTGCACACCATACTGGGCTGTTGATTCCTTCTTTAAGTGAACTAATTTACCTGGCTTTTCCTTGTAATTTCAACTCTTTCTCAAATTATTTCTTTCTTTCTTTTTTTTTTTTTGGCTGTGATTGAACCCAGGGCCTGTGCATGCTAGGCAAGTGCTTTATCACTGAGCCATATCCCTAGCCCTCTCAAAGGATTTCATATCTTTGTGTTTTAGCTCTCCAACTAAATTGTAAACTTCTCAAGAGCAATGCCCAACACTTAGCATAATGCTGAATTCGTAGTGAGCAATCAATAATGTTTGAGAAATGAATGAATGAATGAATAATTAAAATCTGAGTTTCTATTTCTTTTTTCTCCTTAGAACTCTGTCCTCAATGCATGCTTGTTAACTGACTGCCTCTCAGAGTCATTACCAAGGCAATTTGTATCCTAGACAGCCAGCTTTAAAAGCCTTTTATTTTCTACCTTCAAATCCTCTCCACCCTGATATATTCAGGCCTTCCAGGAGGCCAAGAGTCCGCTCTGACCACCTCCCTTCTCATAATTGTTTCACCTGGGCCCCTTCCCATGTTTGCAAATTAAAGTTTTACCTTCAGTAAATTCTTCTTTCTAAATTAAATTATGGACACAGCCATTTCTTCTTTGTTTACTAAGGTGACAGAAAGCAGCAGGTAACATGTTTAGCAGGGTTTCTTTCTTTTTTTAAATAAAAAATAAGTTATGGAGCTGGGGTTGTGGCTCAGCAGTAGAGCACTTGCCTTGCACATGCAAGGCCCTGGGTTCAATCCTAGCACCACATAAAAATAAATAAACAAAATAAGGGTATTGTGTCCATCTACAAATATATATATATTAATAAGTTATGTCAGTTATGTGTAAACACTGAAAAAACAATAAGCATTCATTGTAAAAACTAAAAAATATAGCTGTGAAAATATATATTAAAAAGTTAGAAAAAAAAAAAAAAAGTTAGGCTGGGAACCCAGAGTGGTAACACACATCTGTAATCCCAACAACATGAGTGGCTGAGGCAGGAGGATTGCAAGTTCAAGGCCACGCTCAGCAAGTTAGCGAGACCCTGTCTCAATATAAAAAATAATTTTTGACACAACCAGGTGAAACTCCACAACATATACAACTGCAAAAATGGTATCCTAATTAGAATAAGTTATACTCTATGTTTGTATAAGATGTCAAAATACACTGTACTGTCATATATATCTAGAAAGAACAATTAAAAAATAATTTTTAAAAGGGGGAGCTATAGATGTAGCTCATTGATAAAACACCCCTGGGTTCCATCCCCAGGACAAAAAAAAAAAAAAAAAAAAAAAATTTGTAAGTATCATTGAGATGAAATCCTTGTAGCTTAGGGCCTTGCAAAAATTATTCCTTTTGGATACATTCCTCAGTAAGATTTACTCTGATGACCACTAAGGAGAAATGATACACATTTCGCATAAAATAGAAAAGAGTAGAACAAGCCCACAGTAGCCTTCATCCTTATTTGGGGACTTAAAATGTGTTTGGCTTGCAGGTTCTAGGGCTTACTCAGCATAACCTAATGCAGTGGTTTAATATATATTCTGTAGCATAACACCTGGAAATCTGAGCTCTCTGCACAACACTGCAGAAATGCTGATAGAAAACTTAAAATTACAGAACATATAACTTCATGCTAACTCCGATAACATCCTATTGCAGCTGCAGTACAGACCAGTACAAGGCATCTGTTTAAGAAAAACACATCAGAGAAAAGTTCATCATTGAGGAAGTATGACATTCTAAACTGGAATAAGGCTGGCAAGATCCAACAGTGTGGGGGAAAAAATATTTTGATTTGAGTCTCTACTCTGACACTTATTAATTGCATAAATTTCTTTGCCACTCTGAAACCTTAGTCTCCCCCTTTACGAAATGGGTTTAATTACAGTATTTTTTTTCCTTATGAAAAAATGAGCTGAATTGTGGGAAAATGCTTTGTAGAGTGAAATACTATCTATAACACAGATGTTGCCAGTAGTTGTTATTATAGTTAATGAAGTGTTGAAAAAATTCAGCCTTTACTTTCATCACAAAAGTTTGACAGCATGAATACAATCCTAAATATAAGAGAAAAAAAATTTTTTAAATTTTCTTTTAGTTTTCGGCAGACACAACATCGTTGTTTGTATGTGGTGCTGAGGATAGAACCCGCGCCGCACGCATGCCAGGCGAGCGCGCTACTGCTTGAGCCACATCCCCAGCCCCTAAGAGAAAATTTTAAAGGTACAAAGCAACACATAAAAAATGTTAAAAGAAAACTAAGTATCTATATGACATTAGAATAAGGACAGTTCTTTGGTTTTGGTGCTGGGCATTGAACCCAACAGTGCTTTCCCACTGAGCTACATCCCCAGTTCTTTTAGTTTTTCATTTTTGAGACAGTGTCTCACTAAGTTGCTGAGGCTGACCTTGAACTTGCTATTCTCCTGCCTCAGCCTCTTGAGGCACTGTGATTATGGAGTATCATAGCACCTAGCTGATGGATGTTTTTTCTTGTATTTAGAATGAGAAAACAGATTTTGGGGAGGAAGCCGAGGGAGGTGAAGTCCCATTTTATTATACATACTAGCAATGTGATTTATGACTTGATGTTACATGCCTGTAATTCCAGTGGCTTGGGAGGCTGAGGCAGGAGGATCATGAGTTCAAAGCCAGCCTCAGCAATGGCAAGGTGCTAAGCAGCTCAGTGAGACCCTATCTCTAAATAAAATACAAAATAGGGCTGGGGATGTGGCTCAGTGACCAAGTGCCCCTGAGTTCAATCCCCAGTGCCCAAAAAAAAAAAAAAAAAAAAAAAAAGTCCTAAGTATGAAAGAATAAAGAAAGAGAAAATGAGAACTTCCATACATTGCTGGTGCTATTAGAAGTTTTTTTTTTTTTGTTTTTTTTTTTTTTTTCTAGTGGAAGTATTAATTAGACATAATAAAACAATGCTTTGGTTAGAAATTTGATTTTTTTTTTTTTGTACTGGGGATTAAACCCAGTGGCATTCTACCCTAAGCTATGTCCCCAACCCTTTTTATTTTTGAGACAGTGTCTTGATAAGTCGCCCAGGTTGGCCTTGAACTTGTAAACTTGCGAATCTCCTATCTCTGCCACCTGAGTTGCTAGAATTACAGGCATGGGTCACTGCACCCACAGAAATGTCTATATTTTTGACCTGGCAATTCCACTTCTTGGCTTGAGAAATTCTCATTTGTAAAAGAGGATATGTTTATTGCAACATTATTTGTAATATTGAAAAACTGGAAAGTGGGACGAGATATCATTTGAAACCCTGGACACTTTGGTATCTGAAACTTGATCTTTTCTTTTCTTTTTGGCAATCCATAACTCTTTGGTAACATGTCCAAATAAAATCCCATCTTAAGCCTGTTGGAGATGATTTTTCTGTTACTTGCAACTTTTTTTTTTTTTTTAGTTTTCGGCAGACACAACATCTTTGTTTGTATGTGGTGCTAAGGATCGAACCCAGGCCACACGCATGCCAGGCGAGCGCGCTAGTGCTTGAGCCACATCCCCAGCCCCTGTTACTTGCAACTTTATTGAGTCATGCCTGATATCTGTAGAGACTCATCAAGTTAATCTAAATTGATACTCAGTTTTTTATTTAAAGGAAGAAAGTAACAATGACAAGTAAAGCCCAAATACTTACTCTCTAGGCCTTGCGGTCAATTAAGCCCCTTAAGCAGCATCTCTGCTCTGTACAATGGATAAACTCTTCCAAATGAGTCTGTTGATCAAAGCACAAAACCAATGCATGAAATGAAACAAACATAATACTTGAGATAAAAGAAAGTGTTTTATGAAATGATGTCTTACAAAGCTGTATATTCATATCAGTCAGCTCAAGGTGAAGATTTTTCTTTCACTTTGTTAACTTTAAAAGAGGAACTATTTCAAATATTCAGAAAATAGATGCCATTTTTCCACCACCCACATTTAACAGATGCCAACATCACCTGTATTTTTTCGTGTTTTTAGAAAGAAATCACATTATATATAATACTGAAATCCAATTCCCTATCCTCTTTTCCATTCTCCCTCCTCACAGTAATCACTTTTTTTTGATACCAGTGATTGAACCCAGGAGCACTTAACCACTGAGCCACATCCTTAGCCTTTTTTTTTTTTTTTTTTTTGTATTTTATTTAGAAACAAAGTCTCTCTGAGTTGCTTAGGGCCTTGCTGAGTTTCTGAGGCTGACTGAATTTGTGATCCTCCTGCCTCAGCCTCTGAGCCACTGGGATCACAGGCACATGCCACCTTGCCTGGCCAGTAACCACTATTCTGAAGTTGGTGTGTGTCATCCTCCGTTTGTTTTTTTATACACACACATACATAATTGTTTATATATAAAATTGTTTGAATTCGCATTTTTTGTTTACTAGAAAGTTTGGATGTCTTTTTAGATGTTTATCAACCATTAAGTTTCTACTTCTATTTGTTTCCTTTGCTCATTTTGCTTATCTTTTTTCTTATTGAATTGTTGGAGTTTTTTACATATCTTGGATACAAATCCATTGTTCCTTATATGTGTTACAAAAACCTCCTCCCTATCCATGGCCTATCCTTACCTTGGTTTATGGTGTCTTCTGTCAGAACTGTATAGGACATTTGAAATACCTCATCAGACATTAAAGTCAGGCTTTAATTATGCCACATTGTGGGATAACTCAATCGAGAGTTAAACGTTTTAGGAGATCTGATCAGAGATCACAAAGTTATTCTAACATGGGAATGAATAATTGCCTCTAAAATAACTGAAGAAAACTTCTATTACAGGACCAAGGATATGCAGGGTACTCAAAGCTATGTGGGGATTGAGTCCAGGGCTTTGCACATGCTAGGCAAGCGCATTCTATCACCCAGCTACATCCCTAGTCTTTTCTATTTTTTAATCTGGAAACAAGGCTAAATTTCCCAGGTTGGCCTTGAACTTGTGATCCTCATACCTCAGCCTACCCAGCAGCTGCACTATTCTCATTTTACAGATGAAGGAACTGAGGTTCTATTTTCGTCTCCAGTTTAGAATTCTCATTCCTTATAAGGAATATTAAAATACAAAACAAAACAACTGGTGTGGTATCAATATACTTAAATCTAAACATCACTACATATCATTGTACATATAAACAAAAGCTATAAATAAGGGTAAATGTTTTTTAAAGCCCACTTAAAAGACTACTACCAAAAAATACATTTTTGTATGCTGGGGATTGAACCCAGGGGCACTTTATCACTGAGCTACAGCTACAGCCCTTTTTTTTTTTTTAAAGAGAGAGAGAATTTTTTAATATTCATTTTTCAGTTATCGGCGGACACAACATCTTTGTATGTGGTGTTGAGGATCGAACCCGGGCCGCATGCTCACGCGCTACCACTTGAGCCACATCCCCAGCCCAGCTACAGCCCTTTTTATTTTTTATTTTGAAATAGGGTCTCACTAGTTGCTTAGGTCCTCACTAAATTGCTAAGACTGGCTTCAAATTTATGATCTTCATGCCTCAAATTTATGCAATCCCGAGTTGCTGGAACTACTGTCGTGCACCAATCTGCTGATCTACGTATAGTTTTATATAAAATATAGTCACAAGGACTGAGGGTATAGATCAGTGGTAGAATACTTGCCTTGCATGCTAGGCAGGTACACTATCACTGGTAGATTTAATCCCCATCGCCATCATAAAAAAAGGAAAACAAAAAACAAAACAAAGAAACAAAACTCACACATAGTTAATTTTCAGTGTTTGCAAAGGATTGGTTCTAGGATCGGTCCCTCTACTTCCATATGGAACCCAAAATCTGAGAATGCTCATATCTCTAATATGAAAAAAGGTGCTTGCATATCACCTACACACACCTTCCTATATATCTTATCTTACATAAGTATTCTCCTGTGTACTTTTAATCATCTCCAGATTGCTTATAATACAGAATACTTTAAATGCAATACAATTAAAGTGCTTTGTAAATAGTTGTTATACCATGTTGCTTAGCAAATAGTGACAAGGAAAAAAGTCTGTACATATTCAGTACAGACACAACCACTGTAAGCCTGACTGTTTTTTTTTTTTTTTTGAGGCGGGGCGGGGGGTACTGGGGATTGAACCCAGGGTGTTTTACCTGTGAGCTACATCCCCAGTTCTTTTCATTTATTTTTTAAATGTTGACACAGGGTCTCTCTTAGTTGTTCAGGATGGCCTTGTTCTTTCTATCCTTCTCCCTCATTCTCCTGAGTCACTGAGATTACAGGTATGTATCCCAGACTCTAATTACATTTTGATCTGTGGTTGGTTGAATGGCTAAGGAATCCACAGAAATGGAGGGCTAACTATAAATGTATTTCTTCATTTAGGTTTATATACATATACACACATACATGAATGACTGTGTATAAATGTGTGTGTGTGTGTGTATGTGTGTATGTGTATGTATAATTTTCAACAACCTGGAAGGGGGCAGTGACTAAGTCAGTCTTTATCTGCAATTTTTTTTAAAGGAAAAAAAAAATAAAAGAAACCAGGTATGGTGGTACACACCTGTAAACCCAGCAACTCAGGGGGCTGAGGTAGGAGGATCTCAAATTCAACAGCCAGCCTAAGCCACATTTCCTAAGCACTTTGGTGAGACCCTGTCTCAAAAAAAAAAAAAAAAAAAAATTAAAAGGTCTGGGGATGTGGCTCAGTGGCTAAGCACCACTGGATTTAATCCCTGGTAGAGAGAGAGAGAGAGAGTGGGGGGCGGGAGGGAGAGAGAGAGAGGGAGAGGGAGAGGGAGAGGGAGAGGGAGAGGGAGAGGGAGAGGGAGAGAGAGAGAGAGAGAGAGAGAGAGAGAGAGAGAGAGAGAGAGAGAAAGAAAAGAAAAAAGAAAGACTGGTAGTAAATATAACAAAATTCTAGATGGTGGAAATTTGGATGTTTTTTTTTGTACTTTTCTGTATTTTTTAAATGTCTTAAAATATGAAAGAATTTCTACAGGAAAAAATAGGAAGGAACTACACCAAAATAGTCATAGCAATCATCTCTCCATCCTTCCTTCTGCTTTTCTATAATTTCTAGTTTGTGTAATAAGGAAATCTATAATGTGAGGGAAACCACCAAATCATTTTGTTTTAAAGTTTTATTTTTAGCAAATTTAATCCTAATATCAGGAGGCAGTTGATGTCAGTGAACAATCAACACTGAACCATTTTATGCACTTTTATAAGCATTCTTACTAATGCACTGCCCTGTACCAAATATCTATAATGAAATAGGTAATAGGAAAGCCCATATTGTCCCACAATAGCCCCTCCCCAGACAAATGTGTTTAAGCCTTCTCATGAGTTTGGATCATGTGGACATGAGTCATAAACAAGATGTCATTTATTCTTTAAGGAACAGAACATATATTTGTCTGCACGTGTGCACATTCTTAACTATTTGGTTACTGCCCAAAGACAATTGACACATTCAAAATTAGTAGAAATGAGATATTAAACGGAATTAGCTAGGGTTCTTCTCACAATTTGTTTAATCATTCATTGCATTGATATTAACAGTTGGGTAACAGCAGGTGTGAGTTGGTAAAATGACTCTAAATCACAGTCACATGGGGAAGTTAAAAAAAAAATGTGCATCATGTGGAAACCTTTTTACTTTTGTATCTCTCTGAACAACAGAAGCTTGGGTTTCCATGTCTAGTGACAGATTTATTTTAACGTAATTGAATAATCGGAGTTTTCCACTGCCAAAAACTTTTATCCACTTCATTACTTAGAGGATTAAAAGAAAATGTGATCTGGTGTTCTATGAAGTTTTCTCTTCCCAGGGACCCAGAGAGGGAACAACTGGGAACTCATGACCCTGGACGTTATCTGTTTCCGCTGCATCTGACTGAGCACAGTATAGACTAGAACACTGCCAAGAGCTTAAATTCTGCCTCTCACCTCTATTGTTCCAGAAGGATTGAATTTTAATACTAGGGAAAGAAACCTTAGAAATCACTGAATCTCTCTGACTTTATAGGTGAAAAAATTAGGGCACAATTTGGGCAGGAACTATGAAATTAAACTTATGTGAATATTATGACCCAGCAATTCCACTCTACTCTTCCTATTTATTTATTTATTTTGATGCTGGATTGAACCCAGGGCCTTGGGCTTGTGAAACAAGCATTCTACCAACTGAGCTATGCCCCTAACCCCAGCAATTCCACTCTTATGAGATACTGAGGAAAAACCCAAAGAGACATACAAAGATGTTCACTGAAGCATTTTCCTGTTTGTAGCAGGAAAATAAAAATAAAATTGAAACAACCATAATATCCATTCGTAGAAAAATGGCTGATAAAATATAAAGTAGTCATATTGAAAAGACTATGTACTAGATAAAAGGATTGAGCTACATCTACGTGGACAAATGCCAAAACCAATTAGTAAAAAAGCCAATTTGCACAATCAGTGGAAGTATATATTTATATTTATATAAAAACTCATACAGTACTATTTTTACATGAGTATAATATGTGATATACAATACGATATTTAATGCAAAAACCTTCTGAAAGGTCTAAACCTCTGTCTAATACAGTAGCTACTAGCCACATGTAGCTATTTAAATTTAAATTAAGTAAAATAGTCATATTAGCCACATTTCAAATATTCAGTAGCCACATGGGACTTGTGGCTGCTGGACTGAACTGCATAGATACACAACATTTCATAATTTCTGGTGGATCTATGGAACAATA